CGGGCGACGATCTCGAACGAGGCCATCTCGGCGATCTGCAGCTGGTCGCACACGACGGCGAGGTCGAGGACGCGGCAGAGGGTCTCGTGGAGCTTCGCGTACTCGTCCTCGTCGGCCAACGCCATCGAGGTGAGCCACCTCTGGCGCCATGCTGTGGGCGTACCCGCCATCGTCGACATGAAGGACAGGCACCAGAGGAGAGTCCGCGGCCCCTGCACAGGCCAGCCCTGCACAGGCGTCTCCGAGAGGGCGTTGACGGTCTCACCGAACCTCCTCTCGCGCTCGCCCCTCGGGTTGAGCTGCATCGGGAGGACCCTGAAATCTCCGACGGGGGCGGGCGCCACAGGGGCGGCGGCGGGAGGCGCAGCCTCCACTGCAGGTGCTGGCACCAGGGGCAAGGCCCCCACGGGCCCAGGCGGGACGGCTCCCAGCGCGGCGGCCAGCGCAGCGACGCCAGGGGCGACGCCGAGAGGGGCCGCCGCCGCGGCCGCGGCCGCGGCCGCATCGCCAGCGGGGCCGCGGCCCCCGCAGGCGGCGTCGCCCCTTCCCCGCCAGGAGGTGGCGGCAGGGCCGCAGGCGGCAGGGCGGCGGCCGCCGCAGGGTCCGCCAGCGGGAAGGGACCAGGCGGGGCGCCCGCCACGTTGCCCGCCGCGAGCGCCAGCGGCAGAGGGTCGGCAGGTCTCGGGTAACCTGCGGCCACCGAACGAGCGACAGCCGCCCACAGCTCCGCGGCAGTCGGAAGGCGGCGGAAGCGGTGCACCGCGACGCCCGCCAGGGCCGGCGGCGTGTCGCCCTGGCCCGCGAGCTGCAGGACCGCCCGCACGTCGGGGCCGACGACGATGGGCTCGTCGTAGTCGTCGAAGTCGGGAGTGAAGATGTAGGCGAGGCCCCCGTTGACGCCGAGCACGAGGCGCTCGTGCCAGAGGGGTACGCCACCGACGCGGTAGCGCAGCACGTGGAAGCTGCCCGCCATCACTGCAACGCTGGGGCGCGGGCTCGAGCGTCTCGGACCTGCTGAGCCGCGAAGGCGGCGATGTCGATGCCGTCAACGATCTCCACCACGGCGGGCGGCTGGTGGGCCGAATGCCCGAGAAGCCGCCGCGCCGCCCAGGCGCCTCCCACGGTCCCGACGGCGAGGCCGACGGTCAGCGCGGCCACCGCGCAGGCCGTGACGAGGCCCAGGCACGAGGGCTCGACCACGTGCCCGCCCGCGCCCGCGCAGACGCAGGCGGGGCAGGAGAAGCTCGAAGGCGCGGGGCAGGCCAGCTGCGGCGAGCAGGCCCCGCAGCTCGGCGCGGCGGCCCGCGCCACGACTGTGGCCCCCAGCGCCTGCGCCCCGTACCTCAGGACGTCCGCCGCATGGTGGGCGAGGTCTTGCATCCCTGAGCAAGACCCTGAGAGACTTGAGAATGGAAGCGCGGCCCGAAAGAGAGCCACAAATAGCCGCGGGCAGCATAATGAAGATGCTGATGATGATGGTGATGATGGTGATGTTGATGATGATGTTGATGATGATGCTGATGATGTTGCTGATGATGATGGTGATGAGGAGGAGTTGTGCCGAGGGACGGCGGCGCTGCTCTGCACCCTGTTGGGCTACTGTGATTATTGTCTACGTGCGCGTCCTGTGCTGCACGTGCCGTCTGCATAGTTTGACCGTCGCTATGCCTAAGTCGGCCTCGCGCTGCACATGTTTGTCCATCGAACGCTACAGCACATTGGCATGAGCTAGCGCAGCGTCAAAAGTTGTGCCGAGGAGAAGGATCGAAGTTCGAGGGTCGAGGGCGCAGGACGTGGTCCTGAGGGCGGAGGTCGTCGGGGGGGCTTTGGTACGGTGCGCGCAGACAGGCCTCCCAAGTAGTCCCAGCTGCCTTCAACAGGCCCCCGAGTAGGCACAGCGGGCTTCGATAGGCCCCCGAAGAAGACCAGGTCTCAACACTCCAACCCTGGGGCGCGGAGCACCCCACAGGCGCCGCTGGATGCTGCGCCAGGGTGGTGAGACCGCCCAAAGCTACTCGGAGGACCTAGGGGACCTGCCTGTGCGGATCCCGAAACCGTAGCCGTACCAGTCCCCCCGACGACTTCCGCCCTCAGGTCCACGTCCATCCTCGAACCTCGATCCTCCTCCTCGACACAACTCCTTCTTCTCCTCCTCCTCTTCCTCCTCCTCTTCCTCCTCCTCCTCCTCCTCCTCCTCCTCCTCCTCCTCCTCCTTCTCCTCCTCCACCATTTCTGTTCCTTATAAATGACTCCCCCCATGTCGCTCTCCGAGGGCACTCAGAAGGGCGGGCCGAGCGTTTCGCCTGAAACATCCGTACCAAGATATGACCCTGCAGCTGAAAAAAACAACAGCTTCACAGATGTAGGGCGTAAGGGTTTCAACATGTGGCTCTCGCCTTAGCGCCGCGCTTCGTCTAACACGAAATAGTTTCACCCATTGAGGGCAGGCCGTCTCCAAAATGTGGCTCTCGCCTGAGCGCCGCGCTCGTCTTCAAAGAAATAAGAATGTTACAGATGAAGAGCTGGCCGTTTTCAAAATGTGGTTCTCGCCTCAGCGCCGCACGCATTCGTCTGAAAAGCTTGCAAGAGTTTCACGGATTGATGGCGGTTCTTCTTCAAAATGGTGCTTTCGCCTCAGCGCCGCGCAAATTCGTCCAAAACACATGCAAGAGTTTTACTGGCTCCCATGGTCAACGTACCAGAAATGGTGCTTGGGATCGATCCCAGACTGTCTCAGGACGCACCAGTCACGTTGACTCGCCGTGTTGAAGTCCCAGGAATGGTGTTCTGACACGATCCAGGATCTTCAAGACGCAACAGTCAAGATAATTCGTGGCCTTGGAGACCCGAGAGTGGTGTTCTGCCACATTCAGGATCTTCAGACGGTTGCCTCCCAACAGGGGACTGCCTTCAGTGTACATGAACCCTTGTAGGGACCTATGAGAAGGGAACTCGGAGGGAGAGTTTTTTCCAACATCGTGGATGAGTCCTGGGTTTACACTGGCCCAGCCATCCTCCTCCTCCTCCTCCTCCTCCTCCTCCGCCTCCTCCTCCGCCTCCTCCTCCTGCCGTCAGGCCGAGGCAATTTTCAAATGCCTCGCCACCGCGGATAAGCGGTGCAGCCTGGGCTCCGTGTGGCACCGCCTGAATGCGGTGTGGGTCCGATGATGTCACGCTCCTTATCCCGCCCGCTCGCGGGTGCGATAAGGAACGGGCGGAGGGCGGCACTTCCCTCTGGGAGGTTCGTGGTCGTTCGTTGTCGTCCTTCGTGTCTCGTTTCGTCGTCGTGTCCGTCGCCCCTTTCCTCTTTGGGAGTTGCGGCACGGTCCTGGATTAAGTTCCGGGGTGGACGTTGTTTGCGCTCCTGGGCTGGAGAGTGGCCCCCCCCCCCTCCCCGCCCTGCTGCCGCCGCTGTCGCCGTTGCAGCTGTCAGGCCAGGGCTTTTAGTGCCCTGCCACCTCGGCCAAGAGGTGCGGCCTGGGCGCGGGGAGACCCCAATGGCACCTCCTGGTCTGAGGTGAACCGCCGTTGACGATCACGGAGGCGGGGCCCGCGGCTTCCCGCCTGTAACCTCTTGGTTGCAGTGCTCTTTGCCGCGGGCACACTGTTGCCGTGCTTGTGAGGATGCGGGCGCTGGGCAACGCTCCGTGTATTGTCCCTTGGGCGCCGATCCCGAACCCCCATGCGCCATTTTGGCGCGGGGTGTAGGGCGGTCCTTGGTTTGCTTTCTTGTTCTTGATTTCTTCCCTAAGGCACAGCGTTTCTGGCGCTATTGGGAGTTAGTCAAGGAAAGGAGGCCGGAGGTCAGGTCCCAGCTTGTGTCCGTGATTCCCTCTTTTTGCGCGTATGCCCGTGGTTTTGGCCGTTGGCCACTTTGGCCGTTGGCCAGGGCACGTTGGCCCGCGCTTTGCTGAGCGCCACGGTTTTGTTCTGCCTTTTGGGCCTCCTCCTCCTCCTCCTCCATTCCTTCTCCTTATAAATAACTTCTCCCAGTCGCACCCCAAGGTCAGTCTTCAGGGCGGGCCGGGCGTTTCACATGAGACTTCCTCACCACTCATGACTCTGAAGCTTAAACGTTGGCAACGGTTTCATAGATGGAGGGCGGGTCGTTTTCAAAACATGGCTCTCGCCTTAGCGCCGCGCACAGTCGTCTTAACAATGCAAGTCTCACTGATTGGCAGCGAAGGGTTTTCAAAATGTGGCTCTCGCCTTAGCGCCGCGCACATGTGTGTTAAAATGTGCAATAATTTCACGGATTGAGGGCGAGTGGTCTCCAAAATGTTGCTCTCGCTTTAGCGCCGCGCACATTCGTGTTTGAGCATTGCAAGAGCTTCACGGATTGAGGGCGAGGGGCTTTCAAAATGTGGCTCTCGCCTTAGCGCCGCGCACATTCGTTTTGAACACATTGCAAACGTTTCACAGATTGGGGGCGATTTCTTTTCAGAATGTGGCTCTGGCCTTAGCGCCGCGCGCATTCGTTAAAACATGAAAGAGTTTCACTGATTGAGGGCGGTTCCTTTTCAGAATGTGGCTCTGGCCTCAGCGCCGCGCACATTCGCCTTAAACTCTGCAAGAACTTCACGGAATCCTGTGCTCAACGTGCCAGAAATTACGTGTTGGAAGGATTCAGGCTTAAGAGGGTGCACAAATTATGTTGATTGGCAATTCCGGATCGTCAAGACGCAACAGTCAAGTTGATCCGTGGCGTTGGAATCCCGAGAACCATTTTTGGCCTGCTTTGGGGTCTTCAAGCAATTGTCTTCCAACGAGGCATATCCCTCAGAAAAAAAATGAACCTTTGGTGGGGGCCTGTGAAGAGGGAGCTTGAAGGGATTTTCCAGCATTGTTGATGCCTCCCGGCTTTTCACTCTTCCTCCTCCCCCTCCTCCCCCTCCTCCTCCTCCTCCTCCTCCTCCTCCTCCTCCTCCTCCTCCTCCTCCTCCCCCCACCCTCGGCCAAGATCGGCGTGACGCTTTCCTCGTGGGCGTCCCCCCGACGACCTCCGCCCTCAGGTCCACATCCTGCGCCCTGCCGTCTGGCCCGGCGCACCGTGCGCCCTCCTCCGCGGGGGGCCGCGCGCGCTCCGGGCGGGCGCCGGGGATCTCCGCGGGGGGCCGCGCGCGGCAGGCAGCCGCCGGCTCCTCGGGGGCCGCCGCCAGGCCGCGCAGCGCCGCCCGCAGCTCCTCCACGGCCTGCTCCGCCTGCAGGAGGTCCCCCCGGCTCTTGCCCTGGGCCGCGAGGACGTGGGCCTGGGTGTCGTCCAGGAGCGAGAGGCGCTCGCAGACCTTCGCCTGCCCCACAGCGCCCGCTCAAGCGGGGCGCCGGGCGGGCCCAGAGCACGAGGCGGGGGCATGTGGCCAGATCCCGCGCCTGGGGAACCGAAGTCTTGGGACCCCGGCGGGCTGTGGATACGGGTGTGTGTGTGTGTGGTGCGTGTGTGTTTGTGTGTTTGTGTGTGTGGTGTTTGTGTGTTTGTGTGTGTATGTGTTTGTGTGTGTGGTGTGTGTGTGTGTGTTTGTGTGTATGTGTGTGTGTGTGTGTCGGCCCCTGGGGGCCCGAATGTCTCCACATGCGCCCTCTGCCGAGGTCCCCGAAGATCGATCCCCCAGGCGGTGGTTAGAGGGATATGGCCTGGGTCATCCAGCGTGGGGGTGGCAGCCCCACGCATGCCAGCGCGTATGAATACCTCGAACTCCCTTCGGACGTACGCAACCGACAAGGTCAGGTTATCCGGGGAGGGGGGGGGGACAGGCGGGCCCGATAACCCAGGTTATCGCCAGAACCTAAAACAAACAGACTCAAAAAACGTTCGAACCCTCAACCTGAGCGACGAATAGAAACGGGTCCTACGCACGGTGACGTAGCGACCTTGCGCGATGGCTTACGCGGGCCGCCAACGCGGCACGCCGCATTGGAAACGAGGGTGCTCACGCGCGACTTTACGCGGGAAGCTTACGCGCCAATCTCCGCGCAATCGAGCCCGTCTTCTTCCGTCGGTCATGGCGCCTGTTCCTCCCCCATGCAAAGTTTCTGACCCCTTCCCCAGCTGGGCAAGCTCTTCGCCCCAGACAGCATTTGATGGTCTGGGGGCCCGATGGCGGCCCCCAACCTCCGAAATCGAGGAAAAACGCACAGATTGCATTGCGTCGCTCGCCTGTCCCAGCGCCAGCTCCGAGAGGCGCTGATGCGCCGCGTCCGCCGAGCTGCGCACCTGCTCCAGGCCCTCCGACAGCTGCCGCAAGCGCCGGCAGGCCTCCTCCGGCCCCTCCGCCGCGGCCGCCCTCAGCTGGGACACCTCCGACATCAGCTCGGCCAACGCCTCCCGGGTGGCGCAAGGGTACGGCTGCCGCCACTCCCTAGACCTCTTCCTAGAGGAAAGAGAAGGATGCACATACACCGATTCTGGCCAGGCCCATCATGATCCCAGAATCGGTGCATACGCCCTCCTACCTTGGCTAGGAAGGTATATGCACCGATCCTGGGTCAAGGATGGGCCTTGCCAGGATCGGTGCATGTACATAGTTCCCTTCGCCCGATCTCTCGGGGTGCGCTCTAGCCAGGATCCCCAAGAGACTCCAGCGGTGGCGACGAGGGCCTCCCCGGAGGCCCAAAAAAGACGAACACGAGGCAAGGGCAGCTGTATTGGTATACCGATTCCTCCCTGGATAGGAAGGAGGGGAGGGGAGGGACCAACTCTTCCTCCAGAGCAGTCTGCTGACATTCCCGCCCTTGCAGGCCCCAGGACGCCGAAAGCGGCGAAAAACTCAGGACCCGTTTCCATCAGGATCCCTCAGTCTTGTTTCACGGCGAAACCCAAGACCCTGAGACCCCAGGACGTCCATTGATCTTGGGTGTGGGAACGTCACGCCTTCCACCGCAAAGCCGGCGAGACCAGGACACCCAGGAGGGCACCCGTTTCTTGGCACCGGCCTCCACTGTAGCCCCGTCGTGCGATGGCCTGATATCTTCAATCTGGGGTCCCTGGAGGAGGAGGAGGAGGAGGAGGAGGAGGAGGAGGAGGAGGAGGAGGAGGGGGGAGGAGGAGGAGGAGGAGGAGGAGGAGGAGGAGGAGGGGGAGGAGGGGGAGGAGGAGGAGGAGGAGGAGGAGGAGGAGAGGAGAGGAGGAGGAGGAGGAGGAGGAGGAGGAGGAGGGAGGGAGGAGGGAGGAGGAGGAGGGGGAGGAGGAGGGGGAGGAGGAGGAGGAGGAGGAGGAGGAGGAGGAGGGGGAGGGGAGGAGGAGGGAGGAGGGAGGAGGAGGAGGAGGGGGAGGAGGAGGAGGACAGGGACCCCAGATTGAAGATATCTGGTCGTCTCTGCATCCCGTGACATCTCTTGACGGCCCCGGGGGCCCGGCGAGGGCGCCCCAAGGCCGAATAACGGCCGAACACCCCCCGAGCACGTCTAGGGAATCCAGGCTCTCAACGACGAGCAGGCGCCCGACCCTGAGATCCGACGCTGCGAATACTTTGGGACGCACAGAGACATACTAATACTGTATGT